CCCCAAAACCCCAAAACCCCAAAACCCCAAAACCCCTTACTTAAAGAAGCGTATTGAGAGCTCACAGGTGAAAATAGCCAACCGAGTTATAACTTCACCTTAACTTGCATCAAGCTTCTCTGAGAGTGTTCTTTGTGCTTGAACTCAGCACACTTCTTCATGAACTTGAGGATCTTCTCAAGCAGTTGGTCCCCACCGTGGAAGCTATAGAGTGTTAATAAGATGGCTTACAAAGTGTCATTATGGTGTCCATCTTTGACTTTGATAAAATCTCTGTACCTTGATTTCTCAGCATGGATGAAAAGTAAGTCCATCTGTTCTTTAGGGATAATCTCATCCTCCCTACCCGAGATGAACAACATCGGAAGAGTAAGACTTTTTATTCTTTCGTCACTAGGCCAGAAATTACTCAGCACAAATGGTCTGAAGATCTTGAATACAATGTTCATGGAGTCAACTACATCAGGCAAACTTGTAAACGTGTTCATTAGAATGAGCCCTTTGATCTTATCTTCGTAGAATTTTGAGCTATACTGTCGGTTAGAATTAATTGAAAGAATGAACAGAGTAATACTAAGCCAAATCTTTAAACAATATCCATGAATGAAGTATTCTCGTATTTAAAGGTTCTTGCTGAGAAGAAAGCCTATTCCTGCATTACAAGTCATCGAATTAGTTCAAGTAAACATATAGAAAGTCAGCCAACGATCAGCTTTGAAAAGCAATTTTTTAGGCTAAATCCAGTAATCGCTCAAATAAATTTGTTTCAGGTTAAAGATATTTGGTTTTATTCCTATTTTAATTTTACCTGTAAATTGTAGTGGCTCCTCCTAAGGATGCTCCGAATACAAACACATTCTCAGTGTCAATAGTCTTTGAGTTAAAGGCATAGTCAAGGATTGCTCTAGAGTCAAGCTTCAGTCCTTTCTCTGAAGGATCACATGTAGAATGGCCATAACCTCTGTATCCAACTAGAAGTATGTTCGAGTCTAACGAGTCATACATAGACTTGACAACTGGAAGCCGGAGGCCTATATTCCCTGCATTTTCATGGAAGAACACAATAGTGCTCTTTTTTTTTGGATGAGGATGCAACATCAGCCATCCCTTCAGCTCACAGCTATCTTCTGTAGGGATTATCACGTCTTCGTATGGCATATGATACTCAGAAGGTGACCTGAAAATAATCAATAATTCTTACTGGAAGCCTCTAGGGTTATCCTCTGGGAAGGCTGCAAAGGGCCCTCTGTTTACATAAACAATCGTATTCTGAAACATCGTTGCTAATATCAGTACCAAAAATAATATAAAAGTGATTGAAAAGCCTATGAATAAGGTTAGAAGATATCTATACAGCCTAAAGCCCTCACAGAATTCTGAGGAGCAATTTGAAGACCTTCTACCTGCTTTTTAAGACTTACAGAGCCACTTTCATCATCCTCCAATTGCAGACATATTAAATATTTCAATCCTAAATGACATTATTGGGGTTTTGGGGTTTTGGGGTTTTGGGGTTTTGGGG